AGGGGCCCCTTGCCCCCCCCCCCCCAGGGTTGCCCCTGCAGCACCCTGTGGGCTCCTGGGCTCTCACCCACCTGGGCTGAGGCTATCGCCCTCCTCTGTGGGGCTCTCAGGCCACTCATCGGGGGAGCTGGGAATCACCCCTGCCCCTCCCTCTGTCTCTTTCTCTGCGTCCTGCTCCTGCTCTTCACTGGGACCGCCTGGCTCCTGGAATGAACATGATCTGTGTGGGCTCATAGTCACACAAGCACCTGCCCAAGGCATTGTGAGGAATTCAGAAAGATCTGGAAGACAGCCTGGGTCCACAGTGCTGCATCCCTGGTCCCCAGCTCCACCCCTGGCTCTTGGTATCAGTGGGAGGAAGACTGGACTTTTCCAAGGGAATAAAGCAGGGAGGACTTGCTTCCTGGGAAGCAGGAGACTCTGGAACTTTATGGGGTGGTGGTGGGGGACTCTCCTTTCCTCTCTTCTGCCTCACTCACCACCTCCTCCTTCGCATGGCTTTCAGCCTCTTCCTCCACATGGCTTTCAGCCTCCTCCTTTGCATGGCTTTCAGCCTCCGCCTTCTCATGGCTTTCAGCCTCTTCCTCCGCATGGCTTTCAGCCTCCCCCGTCCCCTCAGCCTCCTGAGGTTCGGCCTTAGCCTCATCTTTCACAACAGGCTTCTTCTGAGATTCACTCTTGGCCTCTTTGTCAGCAGCTTCCTGGGGTGCAGCCATGGGCTCCTCCGTCTGGTCTCTCTCCTCCTGAGAGGCCGTCATGGCCTGCTCCTCCCCAACAGCATCCTTGGGTACAGGCTTGTCTGTGTCACTCACGTCGGCTCCCTCCCTAGACTCAGGCTTGGCCTCTTTCTTAGCAGCCTTCTGCTTCTCCAAGGCCAGTGTGGTCTCCTCTTTTTCCTTGGCCTCCTTGGGTTCAGATTTGGCCTCTTCTTTCCTGTCAGTCATCTCCGGGGAAGCTACTGTGGTGTCTTTCTTCTCACCACCCTCCTTTTTAAGTTCAGCCTTAGCTTCCTCTTTCCCACCAGCCTCCCTTTGGGATTCCACCTGGACCTCATCTAACCCATTTGCTTCCCCTTGGAATTCCGTGGAAGTGCCATCCTTGGCTGGTGCTTCTTCCGGCTTTCCTGCCCCATCTGGAAACCCCTCTCTGCTGGTCTTGCTGGCTGTGCCTGTGGTCTCCTCCTCTGCAGAGGCTCCGCCTCCTGATGTCCCGGGGTCCTCTGCAGCTGGGGAGACAGTGGCCCCATCCTCTGAGAGCTTCCCTTCTTTCTGCTCCATTTCTGGAAAGAGAAGACAAGCAGGACTTGTCGTGCCCTATCCCTGCCTGTGGCAAAGACTCCACCCTCAAAGAGATCTGGCCTGGGAGTCAGGAAGTCTGTAGTTCAGTCTGGGTTCCTTCACTCTGTGGCATGGGAACCAAGCATCCACTTTCCTGGTGGCAAAGTGAAGGGCAGAGTATTGCTTCCCCAGAGGTGGGGTGGTTGGGCTACGTTGACCTGACATTGGACGGTGTTCACCTTAACGTCCCTCTGTAGGTGATGGCTTTGACTTTAAAGGACACTGAATCACAGAATGCCCTTTTAATAATTTTACCTCTTTTTGATTAAGCCAATGAGGCAGTCACAATTTGATACTAGCATCCTGAACACCTGCGGAACAATTGCTACTCTCCCCCTTTTAAAGGAGAGAGCAAGCCTCAGGCTGGGAGCCTAAAGCAGGCGGGAGTATCTAGACAGAATTGAATAACACTGTTTTGTTTGCATTGTGTTTATTTTTATAGTTACTTTCTATTTCTGGCAAATGATATTGAGTTTCTACTTCCAACAGTGATATAAAGTGTCTTTTAAAAATACATTTATTGAATTTAAAAATAAGTTAATTCAAAGGAAGGCATTCAGGAAATTAGACTACAGGTGGTGCAGATGTAGTTAAATCACAGAGGAGGTGTAAAAATACCTGATCTTTGGGAACCCCTGGGCCAGCTGGTCTCTGGATCTCTGCCAGCTCTGCCAGCCTGTGGTTCTCAGAAAAGGTGGGACTGGGCAAGGAAGAGTTTCCTTTGATGAAGAACAGATACATACTCACCCTAGACTCTTCAGGGAAATCTGACCTTCCAACTGCCTGGGGTGGGGTGGGTTGGGGTGGGTTGGGGTGGGAGGGCAGATTATGACACCTTAACCCGGGGTTTACTATTTAAGCACTATATATTCTGTATGGTCTACAAAAACAGGTGGGTGGGGTGACAGGGCCAGCTCCTCCAACGCCCTGCTTTTCTTGGGGGTCTAGTTACAAAGAAAACAATCCCCAAATAGGGCTCAGGGTATGACTCAGACAGTAAGAAAAGTGGACACTCCAGTCACTGGCTAAAAATACCTCCTGCTCTTGGCAGTACCATTTTTCTTGGAGATAGTGCCCACAGCACCTTGGTAATTAGGCTACAGGCCAGGAGGCAGAAGGACAGGCAGAAGGGGGACAGAGTTCTGTTCTCACCACTCACTCGGGTCTTACCACCCCCAGAACAGAGTCCTGTGGGCCCTGGATTTGGTGCCCCTGCCATTTCCTAAAAGAGCAGGCTGGGATTTGTAAACAGACTCACACTGTCACCGTTTTCAATGTACTAAAGTAAGGTGGGGAAATGCTCATCAGCAGAGAGCCAGCAGGTCATGGAGGTGGCCTTGACCCCATCTTCTGGTCACTCACTGTGAGACCTGAGCAAGTTCCTTTGCTCTCTGGGCCTCAGTTTCCACTGACAGTGATAGAATTCATTTAGATCAGGTTTTCCAAACTGTGTTCTGTGGAAAATTAGAGTCCCCCATGATGTTAATATGGGTTCTTACAGGGGTGGGAGGAAGATACATACTCTGGCCAAGGTTATTCCAAAAACAGCTCACTGTTTACCTTCTTAGAGATATGCAACTTCATTAGCAAGTAAACAGACTTCAGATACCACAGAGTAAAGAAACCTTAACTTTGCTTAAACTTCATTTAACTTACTTTTTCCCAAACCTATTTGGCCATGATTTTTTTTTTCTCCCTTTGCTTTCTTTTTGTTTTGTTTTTCCTGAGGAGGAGCATCTACTGCCCTCTTGAGCAATGCCACGTTCAGCAGAAGGAAGTATGGCAAATGCTCATCGAAATGATCCACGAAACCCCTTCCTTTCCTGCTCTTTGCTCTTGTTTAGAAGCTGGTATGGGGTAGTGATGAAAATCATCGATTCTGGAGTCTTCCTGCTGTGGGATCCCAGCTCCCACTCTTTGCTAATTGTGTAACCTTCAGCAAGCTACCTACCCTCTCTGTGTTTTGATTTCTGGAAATTAAAAAATAGGTCCTACCCATAGGGATGGTGGAGGTTTAAGGAAGTCAGTGTATTGAAAGTATCTGGAGTAAGCCTGGCACGGAAGGAGCACTGAGTACACATCCTCTCCTATGGGTGTGTAGGTTGGCCCTGCCCAGCCCTGTGCCAGGGTAAGGTCCTGACCTGGCCTTGAGGACCATTATTGATGAGACAAGGCAGAGAGAACTGAATGCCAGGAAGATGATAGCAAGCCCTTTTTATACTCCAAAGTGTGGGAGTATTGGGTTGAGACACACTTGATGGTCAACCAGTTTTCCTTTCATCTGCACGCCCCACCCTTAGGGCAGTGGAGGGGAAGGGCAGGTGTACACACACACACACACACACACACACACACACACACACACACACACACACACACCCCTTGGCTGTCCTGCCTATTCATCGCCTCAGCCTTCCACCCTCCAGGCTTATTGTAAATAGACAAGGAGTGAAGATGCTCAGAAGGCTGAGAAGCCAGGATAACACCACCCACGCCCAGCATTCACAATTCTGCAGCAGTTCACACGTACAGTGCAGTGCCCTGCTTTATCTCAGTCGTTCCTAACTCCGACCCTTCAGAATAGGTGTTGTTGACCCACTTGTCCAGATTAGGCACTTGAGGCTCAGGAAGTTGAGGTCCCTTGACTATACTCAAAAGACAATTAAATGGCCCAACCATCTCTAGAACACAGGTCTTCTGACTCCCAGTCCAGAACCTGTACCAAAAATACCACGTTCACCAGCTCCTCAGCCCAGTGTCCCTTCAAAGGCCCCAGCTGAGAATAGGGAAACCACCCTGATGCGGGAGGGCAGTCACATATGGCCGAAAACCTCCTCTATGTCTCTTCTAAGTGCACAGTAGGCCCCCATGAAAGCTTCTCCACCCCTCCTTCTCTCACTCTCTACTTTCCTTCATTCTTCCTTCGCCAGGAAGACCTCACACCATCCCTGTTTTGTGTCCAAAACAGCACTGCAGACAGCTCCCCTCTCCCTCTTCCTGTAACTCTTGGTAGACTGGGAAGAAAAGAACCCAGGAGCTGGAGTTCCCAGCCCCAAAGAGTGCAGGAAACACTTGATGGCTCTGCTGATGCCTCCGACCCTCACTGCCACTCAGTCTGTCTTCCGATGGTCCTGAGGCTTCTACCTCCCCTACCCCAGTCAGGGACCCTCCCTTGGAGAGTCCTCCCCCAGCAGCCTAGAGAGCTGGACTGGCGAGACTCCCCAGGCCCCCTCCACCCCGTGAGGTCCTCCTCGTGGATGGCCACTTGCAGGCTACTCTGTAGGTCATCTCAAGGTTGTGCAGCTCCCCAGGGTTGAGACCTGTGACCCCTAAAGAGAATTGGCATAGTGGTGGAGAGAATTAGAAAGAAGCCTGGATTTCTCCAGTTACGGGGCCCTCCTTGGAGGCTCTAGCCGTTGGAAGGTAGGAATGGGGATTGGAAGATGGGGAGGGGACACTTAGAAAGGGGCCCAGGGTTTCTCCTACCTGTGTGGCCTGTCTGGGGGCTTGGGAGCCGTCTCCTTCCTCTAGCTGAGTGGCCTCACTCCTGGGCTGCCTTTAAGCCCCAGTGGCCTCTAGCCCCCAGCTCTTCCGTCCCGCCTTCCCCCTTTCTCTCCCCCTTCCACCCCACCCCCATTTCTAGAGTCTTGGGCCGCCTGAAGAGCATTGTTTACTGCCCTGTTGGTACAACACTTTCCCCTAGACTGGGAGGCTCGGATTTCCTGTGAAGATCTGACAGGTGGCACCTTTCAATCACAGCATGTCCCTCCTGCCCTGACCCTGGCATCATCTGTCCTGTGGTTGGTTACCTTTCTCCCCAATGTACTCTTCTGCCTTAGGGACTCCAGCAACCCTCTTCAGGGCCCATTTGGAGCATGGTCCCCAGCTCTCTGGCCTCCCTTGCCCATCCAGAGCCCAGGCTGGGCCTCCCGTGTTCCCTTCACCACCCCACCCCAGCCTGCTGTGTTCCTTTACAGGGTCCCTTTTGCTCTTTCTCAGACAAAAGCAGCTGCCTAAGGGTGGGCTAAGGGGGCAGCAAGTGATGCAGCTGCCGACACAGGGGCTGTGTCTCAGGGCTCGCGCCGGACAGAAACGGGGGAGGGGCCAGGAGGAGAAGAGGAATGGGACGAGCTGCCGGATCACTGCACTTGCAGTCTAGAAAATACAGAACTCCTGAGTTCTCGTTTAGGCTGAAGTGACAGGTACACAGTAGGCTCTGAACACATTTTTGTACCGAATTGAAATTTTTCTCAGAAAAATCTCGAACAACAAAACAAGTCTTTCCCTCTTCTATGTGTCCTATAGTCTAAGAAAGGTACCACTTTTGGAGAATGTGCACAGCACACACCCCTCCTACTTATGAAGCTTGTGATCCTCAATGTCCTTCCTCCAGTCCCCACCCCTGGGCCGCACTGGTCTCCTTCCTGTTCCTTAAATAAATCGATTCCTTTCCAGACTCAGGACTGGTTTTTTTTCTTCTGCTCTTTGCAGGACTGGCTCCTTCTTATTCTTTTGCACTCAGCTCAAATTTCTTTCCCTCGGAGAGGTTTTCTATGACCTTCTATTCCTCTCCATCATTTCAGCCTGTTTTATTTTCTTCATAATACCTATCAGAATCTAAAATTATCTTATTCGTTTCCTTATTATCTGTCTCTCTCACTAGGCTCTGAGCTCCATGAGGGCAGGGAATTTATCTACCAAGCACATGGCTGTATGCCCAAGTCCTAACAATTTGCCTGGTTCGTATTAGGTGCTCAATAAATACGTATTTAATTGATTAATTAGCATAAGTATGTAATAAGAACTTGAGGGCCTATGCCTGGGATGATCCGAAAGAGAGCTCTTTTTGTGCAGCCAGGTTTAGGTACCTGCTAAATTGTCCAATATTAATGTTATCAGCTTTCTCTAGTATTATGTCTCCTTCATCCATCCAGAGTTTA